TAGAATTCTCTTTCTCATTTATGTCACTGTATCTATTCTTTAGAAATTCTATATACACAAAGATATTTGTACAAGACAATTTTTCAATGCGTTAAAAAATATTTAAGGATTTCAAGAATATAGATACACGGAGAGAATTTTGTCTTAGAATTTACCCGGAAAATCATAATAACCGTGGGATAATATTGGAAGAATTTTATGAATTTCTCTGATTAATATTTACCACAATAAAAAATATTAATATGCATAAATTAAAATGAATTGAACATATTTCATTTCTTATTGTGGTAAATATTTAATCAGAGAAACTCTCTTATAAAATTCTTCCAATACCATATCGTTCCACAATTATCATGATTTTTCAGGGTAAATTCTACGAGAAAATTTTCTCTGTGTACAGAATTAGAATAGGATGTAGAAGAGACTAACGTTTCTGCATTTTCTGTACGCAATGCGAGATCTATCACTATTTTCCCTCCAGGGAGAGACACACGCGCGTAGACGTAAACGAAATTAACCAGAGCTCAGCCAGGAGGAAGCGGATGCGAGTGCATAATTCTGTGCATACATACGAGGTCCGTATACGCGGCCTGTGCACGTGTCGGCTTAACAGTCGGTATTGCCGGTACACGTACACGTACGTTTGTTTGTATATTGGTTTGTGTCCGTATAACGTTAGTTAGCTAGGAATATACAATCCAGTCAGAAGCGGTCGATTGGTCTAGACGAGGTGTGTGTATATGCTCGCACAGCACACGTTGGCCGAATAATCGTCCCGGTATCGACATACAAATATGTACAATGAGAGATTTATTAATTACAGCGCGACGCGACGGACTGGTACTCGATGCACCACATCTCGATCAACGCAAATCGTGGTCATCGGATCGGAGAGACACGATCTAACGATGTTTTCTTATTCGCCTTTCCGATTCAAGTCCACTCTCATTCACGTTTATATATATATATATATTTTTTTTTATTACAAGCCCTCTTCTCGTATGCTCGATTAATCGCGGTCGCGATATCTGAATTCCAAACGCGTCATCTCGAACCGACGATATGTAAAATAGCGACGTGGTATTATACAGGGTGTTTTTAAAACTTATTCTAGGCTTATTCTAGGAATCAAAATAAGAAAAAGTTCCTTTAAACATTGGTCCAAAAATAAAAATTAGCACCCCTCCCATATTTCCCTCTCAAAATCGAATCAAAATGAAGGTCATCATTAATTATTACGCTGTGCAAAATTGTGAAAGTCTCCGAGAGCTATTTTTCTCCCAACGTAAGGGGGAAACTATAACTCGAAGGAAAAGCATTTTTGGATCCATGTTTATAGGAACTTTTTTTCTTATTTTGCCACAGAGAATATACGCTCTTTTAAAACCTCTGACATTGTTTTAGAAACACCCTATACATCTGATCGGAGCAAATCGTCTTTTATTACCGAGCGACGATTCATTTGATTTTACGATTAAGTGCCGTTGATTTGCCATTTCATGCGTTCCTTGAATGGTTTAAGTAGAGAGCCCGACGTATATGGACCATACATACCACACGGGAGACGTCGGTTGCCCTATCGCCGCCAGACGGCTTCCGTCTGGGTAAACACACCGATATACCGAACACAGTCTAGCCGGCAGGGCTTACCGACTACCTAGAGACATCCATCACAGGATTATCGCGGGAGGTACTACGCTCGCGCGTGGTTAGGATGTGTGACGCCTGTGTATATGTGTGCGTACGATCGGTATGCATAAACCTCTGTTCGTCTACCTCGTCTGCATCGTCTACATCTACGTGCTAAGCGTATGCTCGCTCTGCCCCGTCCGATTCCCACTTCCGATTCTCCGCTTATTACTTTCGAAATTAGGTAATTTCTGTTGCGATGAATAAAGATGAGACACTAATTCTTATTGTGCAGTTGCTTCCGATACAAAGACGAAAAATGGATTCCTATATGTATATGACAGATGAACCCCCGGGAAAGAATTGACGAATTAGGTATCTTGATCCATTTAGAGTTTAGTCTAATCTAATCAGTTTAGAGCATAGTGATTTCAAAGGTCTTTTATTCTTCAATTTTCAAAGCGTCTCTCTCATGCTTCAACATTTTTATCAATGACAACTTTTTCAATCAAACATGACGACGGAGTCTAATATGATCTTGATACCTCTTGACACATCTGTAAGATATCTTTTGACGATGAAAAAATAAATTGTTCTCGATGGAATTACATTTGTCTGGACACATGTGTGCGGAAACATTTCGATTACAATGGATACGAGAAAGAGAAAGACGAGCGACCGAGAAATGGGTTTCTATGTATGTATATGACAGATCAACCCCCGGGAAAAAGTCGATGAATTGTCTTCATTGATGCTGACTAAATATCTTGATCCATTTAGAGTTTAGTCTAGTCCCAGTCTAATCAGTTTAGAACATAGTGATTTCGTCTCTCTCTCTCTCTCTTGCTTCAACATTTTTATCAATGACAACTTTTTTAATCAAACATGATGATGGAATCTTATATCGTCTCGATACCACTTGACACATCTGTAAGATATTTTTTGACGATTAAAAAATAAATTGTTCTCACGATGGAATTGCATTTGTCTGGACACATGTGCGGAAACATTTCGATTACAATGGATAGGAGAAAGAGAAAGGCTCGCGAGAGAGAGAAGCTTGACGTTTATTTGAGAGTCGCGGCTTGGTGCAGTCGACGAGTATTCGGAGGTGGAGACAGAGGAGGAAAAGTAGGAGGAGGTGGCGACGACGGCGGTGGCAGACACACTGGCAGCGTTGTAAACGAGCAAAGTTTCGAACCCAATATGCTGTCTCCGGAGCCGCGGCGGAGCCCATATTCAAGCTGTCAAGGTGCGGCGCACGTGCGTCCACGTCGCTTCCCGGTATGCCAGACGGGTAAACCGGGACAAACTTTCGAACTGGCACAGACCGTCTGGTACCCTACCACCACGTCGCGTCAGAGAGAACCCGCGAATTCCTAATATGTTATTGTACGTCGGCACCGTTTTGTTCGCACGATCGACCACACGGTGTCTGGGTTCTCGACCCAGGAATTTCCTTCCTCTCTCTCTTTCTCTCTTATATCCTCAGCATTTTCCAGCAACGTTAATCGCACAGATGTCGAATCCTTCGTCATCTCCTCCGCGTGACGATGCGCGATATTTGATTTGCTCCGTCGTTTATATTTTTTCGCGACCAGCTACAATTGGCACATTGCCCCTTGGCCGAGCGTGCAATAGAGTTTAGCACGCACAATCGATGCATCTCGACGAATCGGGGTACGCGTATGCATTAAACGTGTCTGGGGTTGAACGGATGAATTAAGCGGGAGAAGAGAGGGGAAGAAGGCAGACGTCGCGACATGTCTGCGTCATCTAATCGGTAATCACGGTGCATTGCCTCCGGCCTGGCTCCGTCGCTCAGCATCAGCCGGTGTGGCCTATTTGCCTATTTTCTACCCTCCTAGCTTTCGCCCTCGCGCTCAGACGAGAGAGACTGTCAATCCACTTTGTAGTGTATCGACATATGTACATTGTTCGATTCGGCGCTGTTCGCAATCTTTTTTTTTTTCTTTTCTTTTTTTTTTTTTTTAGAAGCTTGCAGACTAAACAGAGCTTTCCTTAGATTTTCTATTACAAAGTCAGTTTTCCAATTTTATATTTCCATCTCAATTTGTATAAGTAATGAAACTATGAAATGCAAGATTCGACTAACATTATTACTAGACTGGAGAAGCTATTTTAGTCTCACCCTTATAATAAACTTACGAAATCTAGGTCGTGCGGTGCTGAGACTGGACAAAATAATTTAGTAATCCGACGTTGATACCCGACGGGAGACGCTGTTTAATGAATATCTTATACCGGCCGTCTTTTCGCCATAGTTTACTCCGCCATGCAGACCCCTTTCTCTCTATCTATCTCTCTCTCTCTCTCTCTCTCTCTAATCATTGATCGATCTATATTAACCGTATAACGCCAATAATCGTCTCGATTGATAATCTTGAAATAACTTTAATTGGGACGCGATAATAAATAATCTTTTTCTTTAGGCGGCCGAGAGCAATTTTAGACGGTCGATGGCCTGTTGGCAATTGATCTTTAAAAGATTGAATTTGCCAATTAATGGCTGTTAACAATGAAAGTTGAAGTTAAACCGACGTCGAGTTAAATCGGCAATAATGAACAGATTTTCTAAAAAAAATGAATTTTTTTCGTTCGAGACGATTGGCTGCGAACGAAAAGAGAAAATGAATCGGCAAACGAGTTATTATATATAATATATATGTAAGTGGTCTAGACAGTCCAGACAGATGCATCATCACTATCATCATCCAGTGAGAAAGCGAAACTCCCGACTTGGGTCTTTTCGCCCTTCGACTCTCGCAAGCTCGTCAATCGAATAACGAGGTCGTTTTACGTGCTTTATAGTCGTCGTATAATTGTCATCGGCATGAATTCTTAGTGTTCTTGTACAAACAATCCTCATTTATAAGGGCATGTTAAGAATAACAAGTATTTCCTCTGTCGCCCGCGCAAGATTAAACATTATATTTATATACATATTTTCGATCGAGAAATTTGCAGTGTATAAAATGAATAAAAATAACTAGCAAAAGATATACAGAAATTTATCGGCTAATGAGATCGTGACAAGGTACTTTGTAAGAAGGTGACTCTATCCTTTCATTCTTTTTGTCCCTACTTCAGCTTTTTTGTCTCTTCTTCGTGCTAAGTAAGTCAAGTAACGACGGTAATAGATATCTTGTTTGGAGACTAGATAGGGATGCCACTTGGCCTAAATAGAGCCAAAGAACGACGGATTCGTTGGGTTTTGGTGAAGAGAGAACTTGGCGCAAAAACTGAAAATGTGATTTTCTCTCATTGGCAACTATATATATAATCTTCCCAAAAAATTAATGAAATCGATTTAAAGTTATATAATAAAAATTTGCGCAATTTTTTTACAGGTACCTATCACTGGCAATTACAACAAAGCGGGAATTGGATCGAGTGAAGTGAATCTTCCTAATATCGAGCTAGATTCTAACGTGGAAAAAAAGCAGGTAGTGTGGCGAAAGACTCAAGAACGTTATAAAGAAATATCGGATTGATTTTTTAATGAATATCTATTAACTCAAAATACTCATTATTTGTATATAATGGCCTACTAGTCATCTACAATATAAGAAATTTAAATAGTTTGATACACAAATTATTAATATTTATGATTATTATATTCCAAATCATATCGGAATATCCTTTAAAATCTTTATGAAAATTATATTTACGACTTTACAAAAGAATTCAGAATCGTGTAATGCAATTGCTCAATATATGTGAATTTAAGCAATTATTGTTGAGAAAGGTTCATTATTATAGTTGTTTTTTTAAGCTTGTATATATCAAATGTAAAATATTATTGCTTGTACATAATAAAAACTTGAAATAATGAAATTCGAAATTTAATTAAAAATCCATCCACTCTTCGTGAAATTTATATTTTAAGCAATATTTTTAATTTATCTATTTTATTGTTTCTTCTATAAAGATAATTCCTCTTGTGCTCAAATGTGATAGTAATTTCACGATTATCATTATGACAATTAACAAACAGATTTATCGAAGGAGACAATTTTCTCGAGCTTTAAATCATTCGGCATTCGCGCTATTCGAAGATAAAATATTCGAAAGAGAATGAAATGTTACGTTTTGTGTGTGCTGCGGTTAAGAATCTTCGAAAACATCGCTGTCTAAATTCCAGTCGTTCTTTCGTCTCTCGCGATAAAAAGTCAATTTTATACCATTGGATACCTGGAGCTAACAGCGTCCATTCGCAGGGCCCATTCAGGCCCGGCACTAAACTATTTTCTCCACTTTGGTCGTACGCAGATTTTATGGAGCTTATAAAAATGGCAGACCGCGGGCACGGTAGGACGAAAAGACAGGACGGACGATAATCAGAAATCTCCAAGTGAATTTTAAACTGAGTCACGAGTTCGGCTGTTACGCACGAAGAAACCAGCGCGATTTTTGTTCCGAGGTAGAAATCGCAGAAATTTCGCGGAATTTCAGCTTAATTTACTTTCGTACAAGCGACCTCGACGCGACAAAATCTCGGTGAAAGCCGTCTCGTGAAGTAATTTTTTTAAGCTGCTTCTTTAATAATGAAAATGATCTTTTATGTACTAAATCTCTGCCTTTGCAATAATTTATTCGAGATGTATTTTACAATACGATATATATTAGTTATAACAGAGAATAAATTTTTGCATTTTGTTTTTAAATTGCGTGTGATTTTAATAAAATGTAAGTATAAAAGTATTTTTATAATTGCATCGAAATGGTATACTTTAATTATTCCATTTTCGTGTATTGGTCATTAATCGACAAGAAGGTGTGATAAAAGTATTTGTAATAAGATTCCGAAATTTCTATAGCTATATATAACTATACAAGTGGATAAGAGAGAAAAGGCAGGAGAAGAAAGAAAAAAAAGAGCGAAAGAGCAAAAGGAGAGAAGGCGTACGGACAAACAAGAAGGCAGGAAATTGGCGAGGCTAGAAATAATTAGCGCGGTTATTTATGAGGCTCTCCTCGCCTTTCAATTATGCATTTCCGGGCGCGGGAACGAACTCACGGCAAGACGGCGAACACAGATCGTGCGATACAGATACTATATACGCGTTTTATGTTTTTCGAGAACGCAGATCTAATTCCACAGACGAAAACTACGAGAACAGTTATTTCGAATATTTTCATTTCGACAACTTTAAATCGAGAAATAACATTCGCCCGAGAATTGTTTAAAAAGCTTTCAATTATCAAGCAAATTTTCTGAGATTTGTGCCAAATATTTGAACTCGTTTACACCGAGACTTAAAACGGTCGATAATATATGAACGTGTTCTTGAGAATATCTCTCATAAAACGCGATTCTTTGTAAATATCGCGGCGAAGAGTTTACGGAAATGTACCGTACGAGTAGTAGAAGAGAATCCGGGCGGACCTGGGTGTCTAGACACGGCGGTAAACGCCAGGGCAAATCGGTGCTAACAAATGGCTCTCGTTTGTTACCTGTCAGCCATTTTTCGGCCCTCTTTTACTAGTGGACAGGCCTCATCTGGCCTTGATGCATCCCTCTACTGGCTGAAGGAGGAAAAGATAGAGAACTCGGTCTGGCCACACTCGTTTTTCCCTATTTTTTCGAAACGATCCACATTTATTTGCCAATTGTCGACCGAATCCGTTTTCCGTACATGCCATTTCTTACTTAGTTATATTATAAATATATAGTTATATTATATAAATTACAATGAAAAAGCTAAAAGAGGCACGCGTAAAAATTATAACGATGCAAGCGATAATGGCTTGATCGGCTTGGATCAACTTCGATGCACGATAAAACGTCCTTGATAAAAATTTGATAAACACACATGGCTTGCAAATAATTTTTGCAATTATTATAATTTCCGCGAGGTAGGAGAGAGAAAAAACGATTACATTGTCCGCGTAGTAGCATTTTGTAGCGGTATTTTGACGTAAGGGTTAATCAGGATATTACATTCCGACGCGTATGACGAGATAAACACGAAGTGACAAATTGCGGCCGCTGGCTCGTCGTGTAATTCGAGATGATGTCTAGCCTACATCGTGAGACGGCGGATCAAATTCGCGCGCGACCATTGTTCATTACCATTAAGCGTATCTGGTGAACACACTTTCGTGTCACCTGTGCTTCAAAGCCACAAAACGCAGCCATAATCAAAGTTGCAATTCCATATAATTCCTATATACACATATATGTATATGCCGATACTGTATCGATAAACTATACAATATTTATTTCATGTTGCGCTATAATAATTACGACTATTAATTAAAGTATGCATATATTATATTATATATAATATTGCACTTCGATGAAAATTTCTCCTAAACATACCTTGTAATACGCGCATTTACATAAATAAAAGCGTAATTATATCGCACATTAAATTTGATGGGTGAGGCTTGATAAAATATTCTAATGACGAAATGACTCGATTTTGCACGCATGCACAAACGAAAGGGGAAACTAGCGATCGGATACATAATTTCATATAGATAATGACCGATAATATAAGGCGTGTTTCTACGACAGAAAGAGAGAGAGAGAGAGAAAGAGAGAGTGAGAGAGATCCGCAGGTGTAATAATGCGGTTATCATATGTTGCCCGCAAGTAGTAATATTATGCTTTCAACTGCGCGTTGCAAAATCTCAACGTTCGTTCATTGGACTTTTTAATATTCGCCAGCTCTTAATTATATGTTAATCGAGAGAACTGGTTTCCTCATAAAAATACTCAAATTATTATTCCTCTAGATTGCAGCAACGTTATACTGACAATTGCTAAGCTAATTATTCAAAATTTAATTTATATTCTCGTAAAATCGATATACAAGTGCCGTAAATTTTTTCTATACATTGTATAAGAATAAAATAGAGAAAACTGTTACGTAATTGTAAAAAGATATTACACGGGTGTTTCTAAAATTACGTTAGAGATTTTAAGGGCATAGTATAACTCGGAGGGAAAGTATTTTCGAATCCATGTTTATAGGAACTTTTTCTTTTACTTTGACTCCTAGAATAGCCTTTAAAATATCTTATTAAAAAATAAATCATTGAAAAAAATCATAAAATTCATTGATCATCGTCATTCGATCGTCACGGTTTAACGGTGAACGTAAGATGCTCCGATAATAAGAAAATCGACGTATATAGAAAAAACGGAATTGTGGCGCTCCGAGTACACATCTCTACCTAAAAGTACAAGCGTTTCCCATTCGAGATCAATATTGATAAAAGGTTCGAAAAAAAGGAGTAGGTACACGCACACAGTGAAAACGATACAACGTAGTACGACTAGGTAAGCCGGATGTCGACTGTAGCACCGACAGAAACAACAAAGGGTCCAGTTCTGGCTGGGTAATAATGCGTGGTCGTTGTTAGCGTTTGTCCAGCACCGAGCGTTCTAATAGACAAGCGCGTACACACGCGCGTATACCTTTACGCGGTTTGTAATTGAAGGGGCTAGGAATGCGGACGCACGCATGAAGTAGCAGCCGGTAGACAGAGAGTGCAGGATACGCGTTTGCACTGTACCATGTGCATTTATGTATGTATGTATGTCCCTATTACCGAGGAAACCATGACGCGTAGGCGGCCCGCGTTAATTAACGATAGAAAAACATGTGTTCATCAATCTCTCGCTAGTTTTGTGTCCGACGACTTCTCGATACTCCGCTACGCAACGAGATATACACGCGTACACGTGCGTGTTATGGCCGTATCAGACTACGGATTAGGATTGGGATTAGAAAGGAGTTTTTCGTTACTTTTTTTCAATAAAATTTACTGGTACAGAAACATTTTATTTAGATCCATTAAAAACTGTAGAGTTTCCTCTTTTCAACACAATATTTGTTTTCTCAATATAACTGCATGCATTAAAAAAATGGCAGCTGATTAGTTTCAGCAATTACCTATGGGACACCCTGTATCACAAAATTTTCCCAATTTGATACACTTCTTTCTACCAATCAGAGTAAAGTTTATAAGCTTGAGATTAGTTTTTTCATTACTTTGTTTCAATAAAATAAACTGGTGTATATATAAACATTTTATTTATATCCATTAAAAACTGCAGTATTTCTTCTTTTTAACATATTTTTTATTTTCTCAGTATAACTGCGTGCATTTAAAAAAATGACAGCTGATTAGTTTCAGCAATTTCCTATAGAACATCCTGTACCACAAAATTTTCCCAATTTGGTACACTTCTTTCTACCAATCAGAACAAAGTTGATAAGCTTGAGATTAGTTTTCTTTATTCTGTTTCAATCCAATCTCAATCCTAATCTGCAGTCTGATGCTGTCATTACACGCGTATCCTGTATTTAGTGACGAAAGCGTGTGTGTAGATATGTAGTCCTATCTATTCCGAGTTCAACCACCTCGCGAGAAGGGCGCGTTCACGTGTCCGTCATTACTTACCGAGGACACGTCATATAACACGATATTAGTAAATAGATTGTACGACTCGCGGTCAGAGTTCCTTCGCACGGGATGTGGGTTACTCCCATAGGATCTACGGGCCGCCTAATCTATGATAAGTGGATCTTCCTGTTTTGTAGACTGGTCTATGCTGGTGCGTCATTTTATATTGGCCTCTCTTAAACCATCATATTGGTCCGAATCTTGCTCGGCCCGAAAAACAGTGTCTCTCATCAGGCTCTTCTTACATTGTATACTTTGACACTCCGATAACGAGCTATCGACACAATATACGCGAGTTGTTAATATGGTTTATCTACGTGGCTAGACTTATCTTTTTTCACTTGCAAA